CCCTTGGCGGCAGCAGGCCCCAGACAGCGCTGCAAGGTGCCAAGGGGGAGCACCTATAGAGAGTACGACGGAGAGCGGGAAAGAATATACAGCGAGGACCAGTCCACAAGAAACCTTCCACAAAAAAACAACCCTGAGACCCGAGGACGTCCGATCGTCACGCCTTCCACAGCCAAACCATCGAAACCCAAGAAACCCAGGGCACCCTGGAGGCAAGCAGGGTGTTTCTTGGCACGGGTCCCCACTGTACAGAATCGGAGCGTCAGTGGCGCGGGGGTGCCCCGTCGGTGGCGCGGGATGCCCCGTCGGTGGCGCGGGGTGTCCCGACGGTGGCGCGGGGGTGCCCCGTCGGTGGCGCGGGGTGCCCCCGTCGGTGGCGCGGGGGATCTCGACGGTGGCTCAGGGTGTCCCGCCGTGGTGTCTCGATGGTAGCTCGATCAATTGTGAGATCGATAACGACATCGATTGCGTGACCGACCGTGATCGTGAAATCGATCGTGAGATTGAGAGATCGATAGTGGGATCCATAGTGAAATCGATCACAACAAATCTTTGGTCGGGGGTGCCCCGCCGTGGCTGGGAGTGCCCCATCGTGGTGTCACGATGGTGTCTCGTTAGTGAGATCTCTTTTGAGATCGGTTTTCACGTTGATATTGAAATCGATACTTAGGTCGATAGTGCGATCGATATCGAGAGCGATCGTGAGATCGATGGTGAGACCGTTTTTGAAATTCGTTGTGAGATCGGTGGTGAGTTCTGGTGTGCGATCGATCGTGAGATCTGCTGTGATATCAATAGTGACGTCGATCGCGAGATCGATCACAACAGATCTCACTATCGATGGTTTCCCGTGGCGACCAGGCTTGCAGAAGACAAGAGTGCGAGCCATCAACTCTACTATCGTCGCCGCAATGCCCGTTGTGGTGGGAATATGTTTGACCGCTGGTGTTCCGATGATGTCCCGATCTTGCCCCGCTGGTGTCCCGATCGTACTGAACGCCACTCGCTGTGAGATCGCTAGTGAGATCTGATGGATAATGGGATCGAAAATGCGATATAATGTGAGACCAATACTCCGGTCTGTAGTTAGATCGACAGTGATATTGATATCGAGACCGATACTGAGATCGATAGTGAGGTCACATGTATGTGGTGTGAGCTTCATCGCGGCTGTGTCGCCTTCATGACAACTGATTGTCATCGATTGCGAGGTCGCATGTATGAGGTGTGAGATCAACCGATTGTCATCGATTGCGAGGTCGCATGTATGTGGTGTGAGATTCATCGCGGCTGTGTCGCCTTCATGACAATCACCCTTATTCATTATTACCATCAGCGTCATCGTGCAATGTCGCCATCTCATAGCCATCACAGTCATCGCAGTTGTTGTCAGTGGGTTGGCCTCCCCCCACCCCAACCTCCTTATCACCTGAAAGGTGGTCGTGTCGTCAGGTACTGTAGCAAGACCTCTTCCGCCTCCTCCTTCTCCTCCTCTGCCACCTCCTCCGCCTCCTCCTCCTCCCTGCACCACCCGCTTTGTCCCGAGCCTGTGGCAAGAACATCAGCTCGTCGTTGTCGTTGTCGTCGTGGTCTTCGGCGTCGTCCTTCTGGTTCGGCGGCACTGGCCGTGAGGGCTTTCAACACTCTACAGAATACTGTAGCGAGAAGGCCTATGCGGGAGACCGTAAAGAAAGACCGAGAAGAAGACCAAGCATATACAAGAGATCATACGGAAACCCATGCGGGAAACCACACGGGAGACCATACCCAAAACCACACAGGAAACTGGGAAACCATACGTAGACGAGCGCGGTCCACTACTCGCAAAGTAGCTACTCGCAAATGGCCTGGATCCGCCGGGGGGGATCTATGGAACATTTCATCGAAACAAACATCTGTGTTTCGGACGTTTGCGAGTAGGCACTTTGCGAGTAGTGGAACGCGCTCGGCGAATACGGGAGATCATGAACGAGAACATGCGAGGCACCGTACGGGAGACCATGCCGGGAACCCCTACGGGAGACCACACGGGCGACTATGCAGGAGACCACGGGGGAGACCATACGGGAGGAGGAGATCACACGGGAAACCACACGGGAGGCCACGCGGGCCACCGTACAACAAATACGTATGCCGTGTGGGAGACCACACGGGGGATCGTGCGGAAGACCATGCGGGAGACCATTCAGTAGACCACGGAGGAGAAGACGCGCGAAACCATGCGGGAGACCAGACCAGAGACCACACAAGCCGCCACACGGGAGACCATACGAGCGACCAAGATTAGGGGGCCACATGCGAGCCCCACCCTCCTCCTCCAGAAATCGCCGGGGGTAGGGGTAGGGTTCGCATGTGGCCTCCTAAAAATGGAGATCACGCAGGACACCGCAAACGGAAGGCAGCACGGGCAATCGCGAGGGACCCCTGTGGGAGAGTGCACGGGAGCCCACACGGGAGGCCGCACGGGAGACCACGGGAGACCATGCGAGACACTCCGCGTGAGCCCACGCGGGAGACCGCACGGGACACGATGCGTGATGTCGTGCGCAAGACCGGGAGATCATGCGGGAGAACATACAGTGCGGGCGCGGCCGCAAGAAACCCTTGCAAGAAACCCAACCCTGAGAACCCGCGCGCGAGGTGCACAGGAGGGGAAACCCGGAGCACCCTGAACGCAACAGCTCCTTCAACGGCCGCGGGAAGTCGCCGCGCAGCGCAAGGAGCAAAGAGACCGAGGATATCCTGACGAAAAGCATCTGGTTTCTCGATGCGCGCCCCCACTGTACGGGAGACCAAGGGCTACCGATCTCGGTCCTGGGGGAAGCAGCCCTCGCCTGAGAAGTAATACACGGTGGACCCCTACAGACAATATGTGTACGAGAAAAGCTTCCACTGGCGCCGCACAAGCTGGCGTCGATCTCTGCTGATGCCGCGTCAGGGGTGCGAGCTTGGCCGAGTGGAGGCCCGCGCTTGGGCTGAACAAGTCCGAACCTAGAAGCCCTCAAGAACTCCCGCCGTGAAGGAAATCACGACGAACAAGGTTCCGCGGTGTCCAGCCTCCGGGAGGGCTTGCCTGCCCCCCCCCCCCGGACCGAAACAAAAACTGCTGGCAGGAGAAGAAAACTGTCCCAGGAAGGGTCCCAAACCTCCCTGGGATGACGCTGTGTACAGTGGGGACCCATGCCAAGAAACATCCTGCTTGCCTGAAGGGTGCCCTGGGTTTCTTGGGTTTTGATGGTGTTGCGATGGAAAGCGTGTCGTTCCGACACCAAAAAATCATGGACGTCCTGGAGCGTCAGGGTTGGGTTTCTTGTGAAGGTTCCTTGTGGACTGGCCTCCACTGTAGTCAAATCGACACACACACACACAAAAATTATCCTGGCGAAGGACCCAACCATATGCAATTGTGAATACTGCAATTGTGAATATCTTCTCGGTGGAGCCCCCTACGGGGCCACGAAACGTACGAGGGGTGTGCCGAAATGGGTGTGCGGGACGCATGCGGGCACACCCACTGGGGCCTTCGGTGGAGCTCTCGATGGGGCCAAGAAACGTGCGAGGGGTGTGCCGAAATGGGTGTGCGGGACGCATGCGGGCACACCCACTGGGACCTTCGGCGGAGCTCCCTATGGGGCCACGGAACGCGTGAGGGGCGTGCCGAAATGGGTGTGGCTGACGCATGCGGGCGCGGGCACTGGGGCCTTCGGCGGAGCTCCCTATGGGGCCACGAAACGTGTGAGGGGTGTGCCGAAATGGGTGTGGCTGATGCATGCGGGCGCGGGCACTGGGGCCTTCGGTGGAGCTCCCTATGGAGCCACGAAACGTGTGAGGGGTGTGCCGAAATGGGTGTGGGTGACGCATGCGGGCGCGGGCACTGGGGCCTTCGGTGGAGCTCCCTATGGAGCCACGAAACGTGTGAGGGGTGTGCCGAAATGGGTGTGGGTGACGCATGCGGGCGCGGGCACTGGGGCCTTCGGTGGAGCTCCCTATGGAGCCACGAAACGTGTGAGGGGTGTGCCGAAATGGGTGTGGGTGACGCATGCGGGCGCGGGCACTGGGGCCTTCGGTGGAGCTCCCTATGGAGCCACGAAACGTGTGAGGGGTGTGCCGAAATGGGTGTGGGTGACGCATGCGGGCGCGGGCACTGGGGCCTTCGGTGGAGCTCCCTATGGAGCCACGAAACGTGTGAGGGGTGTGCCGAAATGGGTGTGGGTGACGCATGCGGGCGCGGGCACTGGGGCCTTCGGTGGAGCTCCCTATGGAGCCACGAAACGTGTGAGGGGTGTGCCGAAATGGGTGTGGGTGACGCATGCGGGCGCGGGCACTGGGGCCTTCGGTGGAGCTCCCTATGGAGCCACGAAACGTGTGAGGGGTGTGCCGAAATGGGTGTGGGTGACGCATGCGGGCGCGGGCACTGGGGCCTTCGGTGGAGCTCCCTATGGAGCCCGAACTGCGTGTGAGGGGTGTGCCGAAATGGGTGTGGGTGACGCATGCGGGCGCGGGCACTGGGGCCTTCGGTGGAGCTCCCTATGGAGCCACGAAACGTGTGAGGGGTGTGCCGAAATATGGGTGACGCATGCGGGCGCGGGCACTGGGGCCTTCGGTGGAGCTCCCTATGGAGCCACGAAACGTGTGAGGGGTGTGCCGAAATGGGTGTGGGTGACGCATGCGGGCGCGGGCACTGGGGCCTTCGGTGGAGCTCCCTATGGAGCCACGAAGCGTGTGAGGGGTTTGCCGAAATGGGTGTGGGTGACGCATGCGGGCGCGGGTGCTGGGGCCTTCGGTGGAGCTCCTATGGGGCTACGAAACGCTGTACTGGGTGGGTGAAACGCAGGGAAGAGGGGGAGGAGGGAGGGGGCAGCGGGAGGAGGGAACGCGGGGCACCGTCTCTTCAAAACGAGGACCCAACACCACAGGATGGTTGGGAAAAAAGCTGCGACGGATGTCTGGAGAAGCCCATCGCGCCCCGTCGCATCCCCCGGAGGGCGGCGACCGACATCCTCTGCACCGCCCCCAGGTCGATCTCGAGCGCCGACTTGCTGCGCAATATGTCATACCTGGACATCGCGAACACCTCCCCTCTAGACTTTAAACATGAGCCCTCATCGACACCATCAGAACCCGCATCTGCCATTCCATCCTCTGTCGTCCTCCTCCCCCTTCCCCCCTCGGACACACATACACATATACACACATCCACAGATATAGAGAGAGGATGTACATATGAGCGACGAAAAGAAACGAATCTTGCGCGCGCTGCCATTCGCGACCTCACGCCGCGGACGACACGGACGACTCGAAGCGGGCAGCCTGCGCACCCGAACGGCGACGAAGACCGATGTCTCTCCGTGTGCGTGTAGGGCGCCCGTGCGCGACCGCACCGCAGAGATCTGCAACGTCCCGACCGGGTCGGACGACAGAGGGGGGCTGCAGCCAACCCGTATGATTAGATCGGGCATGCCCTCCCGCAGGCCGGTTTGGAACCACAGATTTTGAAATAGCCCAGCAGTGATCAAAAATAGTCCAAAGATAATCGAACAATCGTCCCCAGAGACGTTGGACTACGTTTGACTATTTCTCCTGTAGAGGGACAGGCCCGACTTAACCGTATGAGAAGGATGCGCAGTAAGGATGCAAGGGCCTTGGAAAGCCACGCTGACGCTTTCTCGCAGGACGTTGGCCAGCGAAATTCGCCAAGCATGGGCTTAGGGGGCAAGGAAACAAGAGTAGCCTCCCCCCCCATCAAGTTTATCATCCCCCCCTCCAGAGATCGTTTGTCCACTTCCCGCTACCAAATCATTCGGGGTGAGGAAGATGCCGCCCGATCACCAAGCCGTTTCGCTCTGGGCAGCCCAGCCGCATGCCCGCATGCACCAAAAACTGGGTACCCCCTTCGGCCCTTCGGACCTCCACAACGGACAAGGTCAGGTTATCCACGGGAGGGGCGGGCGAGCCCGATAACTCGGTTTCTCCCCAGGCCCTAAAAAGGCACCATCCACCTGCGAAACGCCAGATCTCCGTCGCCAAGGCCGTGCAAAAAACGATCCGGGATGAAAGACCGGTCCAGTGGAATGGGTCGAGACCTCCGAGGGTCGACGTTGCGAAAAAGTCATTACGTCGGGGGTCGGGGGACGTGCGCGCTGTCTGCGCGGCGGTTCGCGACCGAAACCAACAGGCCGCCAGCAGCCTAAAGGGGGCGCATCGGCGCGGCAACGACACAATGACCGACCGAACCGAGCCGACGAACGCAAACGACTGCGACGCAACCGAAACGACCGAACTGTGAACACCCTTGGTCGCCGTCCCCAATCATCCAGCGCTCCAATTTTTCGATGCGTGGATCCCCGGAAGGCTGGACCACTGCCCCAGGGCTGGTGCTTCATTCTGAATCGTTCGTTTACGGTCTCAAGGCCCGTCGAGGGCCCCCGAAGACAGGAAAACCGGCCAAAAGCCGGCTGCTCTGATTTTTGTCAGAGCCCCCGACATCTGGACCTCCGTCTACGAAACGCCCGACCTCAGTCTTGGACGAGACGGGGGTCCTGGTGGGACTGGCCCAGGTTGCGTCCCAAGGTTTCCAGGATATCTGTCGGCCCTCGTTTCTGCAGCCCGTGCGGAACATTCGGGGGCACTTGTTTTTCCGTCGGCGGCGAGGTGGAGGCGATCCGCACCGGCGTCGTAATTGGGGGAGCCGATAGGCAAATAGTCCAGCGTGCAAGAGACCGAGGAGGATACACTCGGAACATCAGTAACGTGTCGTTGTCATGGCCCTGCCCCTGCCCCTCCGGGCGCAGCCCCGCCACCGCCGCCGTCGCCCAAGGCGCCCGGCAGCCAACCCTGGCCCCGGGAGGGAGGCGGAGAGGGGAGGGGGTCGTTCCGCCGCGCCGCTGGCCAGCGGCCGCTCTGGGCCCTGCTCGCCGCGGTCCATCATCATCATCATCATCATCATCATCATCATCATCATCATCATCATCATCATCATCATCATCATCATCATCATCATCATCATCATCATCATCATCATCATCATCATCATCATCATCATCATCATCATCATCATCATCATCATCATCATCATCATCATCATCATCCTCATCCTCATCATCCTCATCATCCTCATCATCTCATCTCATCATCCTCATCATCATCATCATCCTCATCATCATCATCATCATCCTCATCAGCAGCAGCAGCAGCATCAGCATCATCATCATCATCATCCTCATCATCCTCATCATCATCATCAGCAGCATCATCATCATCAGCATCAGCATCATCATCAGCAGCATCATCATCATCAGCATTATGATCATCAGCAGCAGCATCAGCATCAGCATCAGCATCAGCATCATCATCATCATCAGCATCAGCATCAGCATCAGCGTCAGCATCCTCATGCTCATCCTCATCATCATCCTCCTCATCATCGTCATCAGCATCAGCATCACCATCAGCATCTTCAGTATCCTCAGCAGCGGGATCATCCTCATCAGCATCGTCCGTATCCTCAGCATCGGCATAACCATCATCATCAGCAGCATCAGCGGCAGCATCCTCATCATCCTCATCATCCTCATCAGCATCAGCATCATCATAATCATCATCATAATCATCATCATCATCATCATCATCATCATCATCATCATCATCAGCATCAGCATCATCATCAGCATCAGCATCAGCATCAGCATCAGCATCAGCATCAGCATCAGCATCAGCATCATCAACATCAACAACAACAACAACAACAACAACAACAACAACAACATCATCATCGTCGTCATCCTCCTGATCCGCCTCCTACCCCTCCTCGTCATCGCCGTTGTCGCCGCCGTCGTCGTCGTCGCCGCCGTCATCGTCGTCGCCGTCGTCGTCGTCGCCGCCATCGTCGTCGTCGCCGTCGTCGCTGTCGTCGCCGTGTCATCGTCGTCGCTGTCGCCGTCGCCGTCGCCGTCGCCGTCGTCGCCGCCGTCGCCGTCGCTGCCGTCCCCCCCCGCGGGCTCCCGGCGAGAGCGGCCAGCGCGGCACACGCCCACGCGACCGCCACCGGGGCGCGCGCCCCCGCGCGCCACGCTTGCCGCCCCCGGGCTGGCGGCGGCGCGCCGCGGCGCCTCGCGCCGGGCGGTGCCGCGCGGCGAAGGCGGCGGCGGCGGCGCTCGCGGCGGCGGCGACCGCCGGAGCGCATGCGGGCGCTCTCTCCCGAGACGAGCCCCAGAGGAGGGAGGAGGGGGAAGAGGAGGAGGAGGAGGAGGAGGAGGACTAGAGCAGGCCCAAGATGCATCAGCGATGCTGCAAATCACTCTCGCGTCCCAGGCTCTCTCCCCACACTGCCAGCCCCAGAGCCGCAGCCCGAGCCCGAGCCCGAGCCCCAGCCCGCGCGGGGAGCTTCGACGCGACGACGACGGCGACGGCGGCGACGGCGGCGACGGCGACGGCGGCGACAGTGACGGCGGCGGCGGCGGCGACGACTGCTCCCATATCATCTCGCTGGCTCTTGCGACTCGGTGCTATGATCGACGCCCAGTCGGCGGCAAATCGGTGCCAGATAGAGCCTGGTCGGCGCTGCATCGGCGCTCTCGTCGACAGCCAAGCGCTAGACGACGCTGGAGAGGGGGTCGTCGGCACTGCATCGGCGCTCTCAACGATAGCAAAGCGCCAGTCGACGCTGGAGGGGGGTCGTCGGCGCTGAATCGGCGCTATTTCGTTGATAGCCAAGCGTCAGTCAGTCGACGCTGGAGGGGGGTCGTGGGCGCTGCATCGGCGCTATCTCGTCGATAGCCAAGCGCGGATCGATGATGGAGGGGGTCGTTGGCACTGAGTCGGCGCTATCTTGTCGACAGCCAAGCGCTAGTCGACGCTGGAGGGGGTCGTCGGCGCTGCATCGGTGCTATCTCGTAGGGGGATCGTCGGCGCTGAATCGCCGCTATCTCATCGATAGCCAAGCGCGAATCGACGCTCGAGTGGGGTCGTCGGCGCTGAATCGGCGCTATCTCGTCGATAGCCAAGCGCGGATCGACGCTGGAGGGGGGTCGTGGGCGCTCAATCGGCGCTAGCTCGTCGACAGCCAAGCGCGAATCGACTCTGGAGGGACGACGTCGGCGCTGCATCGGCGTTATCTCGTCGACAGCCAAGCTCGAATCGAAGTTGGAGGGGGGGTCGTCGGCGCTGAATCGGCGCTATCTCGTCGATAGCAAAGCGCTAGTCGGCACTGGAGTGGGGTCGCTGGCGCTGCATCGGCGCTATCGCTAGGTCGGGCATGTCCCCCTGCAATCAAACTCTGAAAGAGAGCGAAATAGTAATCAAACACAGTGTCTTGTGTGAAAATAAGGCCACGAAAAATCGTTACAGGACTGTGTTTTGGCTACTCGTAAATACTCTTCCTACAGAGGGGCATGACCGCCTCAACGCTATCTCGTCGACAACTGAGCGCCAATCTACGATTGAGGGGGGCCCAGCCGCGCCGGCTTCCCAGCCCGGGGAGGGCACGGACCGGAGCGCCGAGTGTGCGCCCCGCGTGCGCGCGCGCACCCGGTGGCCTGCCCCGAGGGCTCCGCGGGAGGTGGGCTGCCCAGCGTGTCGGCGAGGGCCCGTGGGCTCTGTCGCAGAGATCCCGGCGACGCATTTCTGCCACGACGAAAGACCAAACCAGGACGAGGACAAGTCCGGGCGAGGATGCATCAAGAGTCTCTGAGATCCGGCGGCTCTGGAGGATGTCTCGGGGGCCGCGGCCTCCTCGGAGCGTTCCGGCACGCTCTGAGAGCGTTCCAGAACGCACGCTCTGGAACGGACTTATCCTCGTCCCAGCCCCGTCTGACAACGGGCGTTGTCGCCCAGCTGCGGACCCAAGGACCCTCACAAATCGATCCCGCCCGAAAGTCGGGGGCGGCCAAAAGGGGGGGGCACAAGTCATGGCCAACGGCATGTGCGCGGCCCCGAGGGGGGGCCCAGGGACGTAATCAAGTACTGAGAGGCGCCATGAAATCTAAAGAAGTATGATGGCCCACGCCATGATATCCGCCCCCCCCGCCCCCAGTCATCACCCCGACTTGGACGCTCCCGAAAAAACATCGGGGATCTTCTGACCCGGGTCAATCCTGACCGGGGTGAATCGGGCCTTGCAGAATCCTGCAAGAGCCTGCAATATCCTGCACCCAAGCCCGGGTCAATGCGAACGATCCTGCAAGATCCTGCACCCAGACCCGGGTCAATGCGACCCTGGCCCTGCACGATCCTGCAAGATCGGGCGTTCTGGCTGACCCCCGTTTGCACTGACCCCCGTCTCAACGCTCCCGAGAAAGCAGACGCAGAAAGCTGGGTCTGGGGCTCGGGTCGCGATTGCTTCCGACGCTTCACTTGTTCCCCCAGCGTCGGGTCTCAGGGGCTGCACGTCTGGCATCTGGTCCTGGGCCCTTCGGGCCCAATGTTCGGGGCGTTCGTTTTCCCAACCGTTCGCCCAGGAAGGATGATGATGATGATGATGATGATGATGATGATGAGGAGGAGGAGGAGGAGGAGGAGGAGGATGAGAAGGAGGAGGAGGAGGAGGAGGAGGAGGAGGAGGGAAAGGGTGAGGAGGAGGAGGAGGGATGAGGATGAGGAGGAGGAGGAGGAGGAGGAGGAGGAGGAGGAGGAGCAGGAGCAGGAGGAGCAGGAGGGGAAAGAGGAGGAGGAGGCGGAGGAGGAGGAGGAGGAGGGGGAGGAGGGGGAGCAGGAGCAGGAGGAGCAGGAGATGGAGGAGCAGGAGGGGAAATAGGAGGAGGTGGAGGAGGAGGAAAAGGAGAAGGAGGATTTTCAAGGGCTCCCAACTTCGCGCTTCGCGCTGCGCGAAGCGCGGAGTGCGAATAACTTTGCGCTCTCGCGCCGCCGCGGCGGTGGCCAAGTGCCCGCAGGCGCAGCTGACTCTGCCGAGCCCGGCGGACATCGAGAAGCTCATCTGCGAGAACGCGTCGCAGAATCAGGTCGAGGACAAGGCCGTTGACGAGATCTGCCAGGTGATCACGGGGAGGTAAGTTCCCCATAATCAAGTTCAACCCCGACTGCCAGACGGACGTCGAGGCCATCTGGGACGCGGCGGTGGCCAAGCGCCCGCAGGCGCAGCTGACGCTGCTGAGCCTGGCGGACATCGAGAAGCTCATCTGCGTGTTCGCGTCGCAGAAGCAGGTCGAGGACAAGGCCGTTGACGAGATCTGCCAGGTGATCACGGAGAAGGAAGTTCCCCATAATCAAGTTCAACCCCGACTGCAAGACGGACGTCGAGGCCATCTGGGACGCGGCGGTGGCCAAGCGCCCGCAGGCGCAGCTGACGCTGCTGAGCCCGGCGGACATCGAGAAGCTCATCTGCGTGGTCGCGTCGCAGAAGCAGGTCGAGGACAAGGCCGTTGACGAGATCTGCCAGGTGATCACGGAGAAGGAAGTTCCCCATAATCAAGTTCAACCCCGACTGCAAGACGGACGTCGAGGCCATCTGGGACGCGGCGATGGCCAAGCGCCCGCAGGCGCAGCGGACGCTGCTGAGCCTGGCGGACATCGAGAAGCTCATCTGCGTGGTCGCGTCGCAGAAGCAGGTCGAGGACAAGGCCGTTGACGAGATCTGCCAGGTGATCACGGAGAAGTAAGTTCCCCATAATCAAGTTCAACCCCGACTGCCAGACGGACGTCGAGGCCATCTGGGACGCGGCGGTGGCCAAGCGCCCGCAGGCGCAGCTGACGCTGCTGAGCCTGGCGGACATCGAGAAGCTCATCTGCGTGGTCGCGTCGCAGAAGCAGGTCGAGGACAAGGCCGTTGACGAGATCTGCCAGGTGAGGTGCTCACGGAAAATCCCCCAATATCAAGTTCAACCCCGACTGCAAGACAGACGTCGATGCCGTCTGGGATGCGGCGGTGGCCAAGTGCCCGCAGACAGAGGTTGAGGAAGCCGAGGACAAGGGTGAGGAGAATACAGAGGAGGAGGAGGTTGAGGAGGTTGATGAGGAGGAGGTTGAGGAGGAGGAGGTTGCGGAGGAGGAGGAGGAGGAGGAGGTTGAGGAGGAGGAGGAGGAGGTTGAGGAGGTTCAGAAGGAAGAGGTTGAGGAGGTTGAGGAAGAGGAAGACGAGGCCACGGCGGCGAGCAGCAAGTGTGAGAAGCAGCGCCACGTATGTTATGAGTACGACCGGTACCAGCAACACCACTACGCTCAACACAACGGCAAGCAATACGACCGATAGCAGCAGCACGGGTATGACGAGCGCGACCTGTACAAGCGGGACCACTACGCCCAGCACGACGGTGAGCAGTACGTCCGAGATCAACACCACGATTACGACGAGTACGACCGGTGCAAGCGGCACCCCTACGCCTAGCACGTCGGCGAGCAGTACAACTGAGAGCAGCACCACGAGTGTGACGAGTGCGACTGGTACCAGCGGCACCTCTACGCACAGCACGTCGGCGAGCAAAACGACCGAGAGCAGCACCACGAGTATGACGAGTGCGACCGGCACAAGCGGCACCACTATGCCCAGCACGTCGGCGAACAGAACAACCGAGAGCAGCACCACGAGTATGATGAGTGCGACCGGTGCCAGCGGCACCACTACGCCCAGCACGTCGGATAGCAGTACGACCGAGAGCAGCACAAGGAGTATGACGAGTGCGACCGGTACACGCGGCACCGCTACGCCCAGCACGGCGGAGAGCAGTACGACCGAGAGCAGCACCACGAGTATGACGAGTGCGACCGGCACAAGCGGCACCACTATGCCCAGCACGTCGGCGAGCAGTACAACCGAGAGCAGCAACACGAGTATGATGAGTGCAACCGGTGCCAGCGGCACCACTACGCCCAGCACGTCGGATAGCAGTACGACCGAGAGCAGCACAAGGAGTATGACGAGTGCGACCGGTACCAGCGGCACCGCTACGCCCAGCACGGCGGAGAGCAGTACGACCGAGAGCAGCACCACGAGTATGACGAGTGCGACCGGCACAAGCGGCACCACTATGCCCAGCACGTCGGCGAGCAGTACAACCGAGAGCAGCAACACGAGTATGATGAGTGCGACCGGTACCAGCGGCACCGCTACGCCCAGCACGGCGGAGAGCAGTACGACCGAGAGCAGCACCACGAGTTT